AAGAAACGAAATTGGATGCTGCCCATAGTCTGACGTTCCCGCGGTACGAGACGTACCGCTACGACAGAAGAGGCAGAGGTGGAGGAGTCGCATTGCTCGTCAAACGTACCTTGACGAGTCATGTCCTCGACGATGCCGCAGACATCAATGGGGACGGAATCACGGTCCAGGTCCATCACAACCACCGTCCCTACAGAATCACCTCCCTATATGTGCCACCAGGGAAGGCCCTAGACGAAGATGACATCGCTGACCTCCTGAGAGGCCCAGGAGCACGCATAGTCATCGGAGATCTGAACTGCAAATCTCCGGCATGGAACAACAACGTCGAAGACAGGAATGCAAGGCAGCTCCAAGAACACGTCGATGCCCTGGCGGGGGTCATCGTCGGTCCGGAGCAACCAACCTACCTACATTCCATTCGGCCTTGGGCGACCTGCGGTACTGGACATAGCCATCCTCCGCAACATCAGAGAGGAGTTCGAGATAGAGATCCTGGTGGAAGGATCGTCGGACCACAATCCGATCCTACTAATGCTTGGCACAGGGTCTAGAACTCGAGATAGCTTGAGCACCAAACGGACGAACTGGAACCTGTACAAATCCAACGTCCAAAGGAACATCACTCAAATTCCAACCATCCGATCAGCGGAGGAACTGGACAACGCAGTAGAGGAGCTGGAGAATGCTGTCCTGTGGGCGCACGAGGACAGCACCCGCTCCGAGACTACGGCAGTTCCTAGACACCTAAATGGTCCAGCACCGCACCATATTAGGCACCTGATCAGGGAGAACAGAAGACTCAAGCGAGAACATCTCCAGCTGTTGACAGAGGAGTCGAGAGTTGCGCGAAACAGAGCATCGCTAGCTCTGAAGAACGCACTCGCGGAACTCCAAAACAGCAGATGGAATGCAGCCTGTGCAGAACTAGAGACCCAGGATGGTACGGCCTGGACTATGCAGCGAAAATTTCGTCGTCAGCGCACCACGATCCCCACTCTTCACGGCCAACGCGGTTTGGCCTACTCCAGTGAAGAAAAAGCCGAAGCATTCGCCGATTCGCTAGAATCCGAATGCAGACTCAATTCCCTTGAAGACGAGGGCGACAACAACGAGGAGGCCGTGGAAGTCGCAGCCGAAATCATGAGGAGTCGACCACCTGGCCAGGAGACGGATCACCCCTCCAGTTCAGAGGAAATCCGTCTGATCATCCGCAGGTTGAAGGTCAGAAAGGCGCCGGGAAGGGACGGCATCAACAACAGGATGCTGAAGAACCTTCCCTCCAAAGGCATTGCTGCGCTCAACAACATCGCCAATGCCACTCTGAGACTTAACCACTTCCCGCGGCGGTGGCGGGAACCCCAGGTTATAATGCTCACCAAGCCAGGCAAGGACCGGAAGTTGCCCCAGAACTACCGGCCCATCAGCCTGGTTTCCTCGATGGGCAAAGTTGTCGAAAAGGCTATCGGCGTTCGACTAGAGAAGCAGGCAGAAGAACTGCAATTTCTCCCCCCAGAGCAATTCGGCTTCAGATCCTCCCACAACACGGAACTCCAAGCGCTACGACTGACAGAAAACATCACCAGCGGCTTCAATCTCCAGGAGGCAACCGGCTTCGTCCTGCTGGACGTGGAACGAGCCTTCGATCGAGTTTGGCACGATGGACTCATCGCCAAAATGGAAGCCGCCGGAATCGATGCAAACATGTGCCAACTGATCCAGAGCTATCTAACACAAAGATGGTTCACGGTGAAGATTGGTACATGCCAATTCAACAAGACGACAGCTGGAAGCAGGGGCAGGGGTCAGCCTTAGCCCCCCTGCTCTACAACATCTATACTCACGATGTGCCGAAGACAGCTGACACAATGCTGGCCCTATATGCAGACGACACTGCTATAGCCGCCAAGCATCGACGACCCGAGATCATCCGTAGGAGACTACAAGATGAACTGGACCACATCCAGGACTGATGCGTGAAATGGAAAATCCGCATCAACGTCCAGAAGACGCAGGCAATCTTCATTCAACGAAGAAGGATTGCAAGACCTCTCGAAGCATCCATCTTCGACGAAGATATCCAGTGGAGCGACAAAGTCAAATATCTGGGGATCGTATTTGACAAGTCCCTCACCTGGAAAGCCCACATAGAAGCTGTCATCGCAAAGACCAGAGCAGCCATGGCTCAACTCTACCCATTACTGGGTAGACACAGCCGGATGCCGCTAGCGACCAAGCTACGGCTGATCAAGGCCATCGCCAGACCTCAGCTCGCTTACGCCTCCGCGGTCTGGGGGTACGCTGCCCCCAGCTACCGCAAGCGACATGCTGCTCTAGAGATGAAGCTACTCCGGATCGCCACCAGTGCACCATCCTACGTAAGAAATTCAACCTTGCGTAGAGACCTGCATTCGGACACCATTCACGAGTACATGAGGAAAAGAGCGGAGAAGACCTTCCAGAAAGCTCAGGACCACCCGAACGAGCAGCTACGATTCCTCATGGACTACGATCCGGACGAGAGGCCTCGCAACCGCAGAACCAGGTACCCTAGACCAAGGTCCCAGTTGGCACCCGCGAACTGGAACCTTGACTAGGAGAACCCGCGGCTGATTTTTCGAAAACAAGAGTTTCAAGAGAACCTAGCAGACCCTCTATAGATGATCGCTTAACGACATCGATAGAATGTGCGAGGTAAAGGGAACCAACCCGGCGTTCCCAGAGACTGAAACACATGAGGAGACGTTGTAGCAGGCCGCAGGTCACGCACAACACATGGCCTACCGAGACGCTGATGAGTCGGGCCACGCGGAGGTTAGGGTTTAGTGGGTATTAGGTGGTCTCCTCAAGACAACCTGGAGTCCCACACACGCCGTAGCTCGGGCTATGGTATGGTGCGTAAACGCATTCCCCCCTCATAAAAAAAAAAATACCCGTGGCGGTCGGATAAAGGATATTTGGCAAGGAAAGGTAAAAAAAACATCGTTTAAAAAAATCGGTCTTTATTATAAGAAAAATTGAAGCACACTTGGTACATAAACTTTCGATTCTATTTCAAATGAAAAACGTTGACATTTTGTGAACCTGTAAATCAACGTGATGACAAAATGGAAAGATGTAATTAAACGTAAACAGTGATCTGTCGTACCGATTGTTTTTATGTAATAAAAATATAAATAGAAAAATGGCACCCATGACGTAATAGCCATGATATATAAAAATTTATGAATATACTCTGTATTTTCTTGGTATAAACTGATTGGAAACGAAGATTGGTACTGATAAATGCCTTAAAATAAATCTTAGAAAAAACAATACTCCATATATTAAGAGGGGCAACTCCCAACTTAAAAGGGACCATTCATTCCAAATTTAGAATTGCATAAGAATCATCAAACCACACACACCAGGAGATTTGACGTTTCTCATGCAATTGGTTTCACATGCATTCAACTAACGAGATTTTGTAATATCTCGTCTCCCTCTTGACAAATACGACCCTGAGTGCTAGAAGCTACAGGCACCAAAATGGCGGACAATATTATACAATGCACTGGGATCCCTTTTTTTATATGGTAACAATTTTAGACCAATCAAATCACATTCAGTTTTCCGATAACTTGATCCACTTCTTGTATTTCCGAGGAACTATTTGAATGACGTTAATTCTTTGCGAATAATCAGACTCGCAGTTGTTTTATAGACAAGAAAAAGTAGAAAGAAAAGTGTTCATTTCTCGCTACTCGTATAGTTCTTGAAGGCTGAATTCACACCAGGGTGAGGTGGACGATTAAAAAAATGTCAACCCAGATTTTTCTAAATGTCGTTCTTTGCAACAGAATTCCACCTCACGACCTAAAAGTAATCTTGTCACTTGTGATGCGTCTTCAGCCTGAACGATTTAAAGAAAAGTAAGGCTTGAAAAAATAAAGACAGATTTTTTTTTTAAATATTTTATGAAACTAATTCTCAGTCAAAATTGGTTACCTATCAAATTCGCCAATTTGGTACTTGTTGACGCGCCCTGGTTTGGATACCATTCCAATATTCTTTCTCTCATAAAAGAGAATCTACCCTTGAGCATTACAAAATCTTAAAAAAATATCCAAACTTATATAGGACTCTTAAATACAAATGGACTGTCAGTACTTAACGGAATACGACCCATTTCCTATCTCCCGCACGCACCTGCGAAAAATAAAAACAATTCGGCTTTCAACACAGCAAATAGGTTCAAACGCTGCTTGGAGAAATATAAAATTTGATTCTAAGGAAAACTGTGACCTACCCAAAAGGAACAATCTGACGGAATTAGGGTCTTTTACAGTATGAACATTTTTGTGTGCCCCAAAATCCGTCTTCTGGAGCCTGATCCTCTGCTATTTCAAAAAGCGATACAAACTAGGTTCACGATTGTTGGTGTCAATTTGTTGATATTTTCTTGGAATCTGTTAAAAACCCCGTTGCGTGTAGTGGAAATAGAGAATGGGCATCTTCCTCAAAAATTTTATTCCCGTATCTCACTGAAATCAAAGCAGGTACGGCTGTCTACAGTCAGATGCTTACTTATTATCACAAATGTAGACTGTTCTTCTTCAATCTACCATCAACTCTCAACACATCATACAAAAGTATTAAAAAATCAAGCGCGATATATCTAAACTAGGCCAAAGCTGAACATGGGAATTTAGGTAAGTTTCTGTTGCAATCACATTGGAACGCGTGGTTTCGTAACCGTCCATATTTAGTTGATGAAGTATTAAGATGCTATCACGGAGTCCTGGGGCCTCGTCTCGCAGCAAGTTGGATTTTCTAGAAAAAAATTTTTTAGAAAAGGAAAAGTGATAAGAAGAAAAGTAATCACTTGTTTCATTCTTCCATAAACGAGGAATATTCACACACAATTTCAGAGCTGTACTTATATTTGTTAACAAGTTCCGATTGAAGAAAAAATGCATTTTTTGGCAAAAAAATTAAAAGGATTTAGAATACTGCTGCAAATATGAAGTTGAAAAAATTGTAAAAAAACAAAGGACGTGTCACCTTAATAAGGGAATTGGGGGACCATTTTACAAGCAAACCACATTCATTAGATCGGTTACTTCCAAAACGCCTTCTCATTGGTCAAATTTATGCCATAGGCGCAAATTTTGATTCCCCCAGGGACACGTCCTCCTTAACCTATAGCCGTATATACACTAAAAACGGAAATATCAAAATGAACGTGTTCAAGATTTTTTTGTTACCATATCTACAATCAAGCTTATCTACGTAAATAGACGGAAGTTTTTAAATTTCAGCATCACATGGACAGATCTGAGTCACTTTTTCGCTATATAGCCTAGATGAAGAATCTCAGCTCCACGTATATTTAAAACGGTTAGTAACCATGATGGATATGAAGCAGAAGAAATCGTATATTAATTTATTAAGTCACAAACAGCCCGCTAAAAAGTCAAGAAACCGGATTGACATTAAATTTTCAGCGAGACAAGCCAGAACAATTAAATCATTGCACATTTTTTTTTCAAAATAGAATCAATTTTTCTTTAAGATGATCTATATGAACATAACCTTTGGCCATATCTGAACCACGCCACGTGAGTTTTACTGATTATTTTTGAAAAACAGACGAGTGGTTCGCGACGAAAATCGGTAAAATAACTTTTCGGGCCAGAAAAATACCTTTACATATTTCCTAGTTCAGCTTCAAGTAGAAAAATACAAAAGAAAGAAAAATCAACAGAATACCAACGGATCGTTGTGCTTGGCCAAGATGACACAGTACAATACACAACACCAAAATTCAGGTAAATCAAATTTAGACATCCAAATATGCCAATGGATAAAAATCAAAAACGTACATGAGAAAACTTAATTTGATTTCATGAATGAAAAAACATGCCGAGTCGTGCATTTCCTTTTTTTTTTGCTGGATTTTGTAATGCAAGTGCTCCCCAGGATGATGATGGTAATCCTCGGTACTGGCAGCAAGTTTCGATCTTTTGTTCAACACTGATATTGTATTGTTTAATGCTAAACTAAAACCTTGAAATCCCGTCGTATATTAAGCTATGAAGCAATACAACTAAAACCACTGTTTTTATTTTTTTTTGTTATTTTTTTGGTCAATACACTAACTAACGATGGTCAATTTGTGCAAGACACAGTTAACGTAGTGATATTATGACATATGGGACACTAACTGATAGAAATAATTATTATATATTCAAAGTATCAGTGTTAATATACAAAAAAGGTTAGTCAGATTGAACCATGTATACCAATAGGCAATAAATAGTACGATTAATAAACAAGAAATAATATTGGAATATATTTTGATGGATTCCAAGCGATACTGGGTCTCTCAAAAGTCATAGCCAAATATAAAAAAGATCAAGCTACAGCTCAATACAAACTAAAGTAAACTAAACTACTATGGTATCAATATTTGCAAACAACCTGACTAACCTGCGAATATCTAGGAAACGCACTTGCATACAGGGCATAGAATTACGCATCTTTTGAAGATACGGTTGAAATATCTATGCCTCATTTATTCTCAAACGACTCCTTTACTGCTTCAACATTGGTGAAAATTTGGAACATGGGCCACAAACTAAGAAAATGTGCCAGAAAAAGGCTTCCTAATTTTATTTTTGGCTCAGCCAGTCTTTGTGGACTGTATTTGTAAAAATATTGTCAAGATAAAAGTTGCACGGGTACGAGATAATAAGAATGACCATGACCTTGAACATGTCCTTCAAGCTCATTTAGAGGTGAACTCGGGAATTTTAAACGGAACCCTATCTTTCTGACCTCACCATTGGATAGAGCAAGAAAATTAGGTTTAGACATGACCTTGAAAATGTCCTTTAGAAGTCAACATAACAATTTCACATGTATCTTTTCGGCCTCACTTGTCGACAGAGCAAAAAATTTAGGTTTAGACATGACCTTGACAATAAACTTCAAAGTCAGTTAGAGGTCAACTCGAGAATTTTAAATAGAACAAAAAATAGGTTTAGACATGACCTTGGCAATGTCCACGGTCCTTTAGAAGTTAACAAAAATTTCAAATAGAACTGTATCTTTTCGAACACACTTGTGGAAAGAGCAAAAAAATAGGTTTAGACGTGACCTTGAAAATGTCCTTCAAGGTCCTTTAGAAGTTAACATGAAATTCAAATGGAACTGCATCTTTTTGACCTCACTTGTGGATAGGGCAAAAAATTAGGTTTAGACATGACCTTGAAAATAAGCTTCAAGGTCATTTAGAGGTCAACTAAAAAATTTTGAATGGAACCCTATCTTTCTGACCTCACCGGTGGTTGGAGCAAACAAATTTAGGTTTAGACATGACGTTGAAAATAAACTTCAAGGTCATTTAGAGGTCAACTCGAGAATTTTAAATGGAACAAAAAATAGGTTTAGACATGACCTTGAAAATGTCCACGGTCCTTTAGAAGTTAACAAAACTTTCAAATAGAACTGTATCTTTTCGACCACACTTGTGGGAAGAGCAAAAAATAAGTTTAGACGTGACCTTGAAAATGTCCTCCAAGGTCCTTTAGAAGTTATCATGAAATTCAAATGGAACTGCATCTTTTTGACCTCACTTGTGGATAGAGAGAAAAAAATTAGGTTTAGACATGAGCTTGAAAATAAGCTTCAAGGTCATTTAGAGGTCAACTCGAAACTTTTGAATGGAACCCTATCTTTCTGACCTCACCGGTGGTTGGAGCAAACAAATTTAGGTTTAGACATGACGTTGAAAATAAACTTCAAGGTAACTTAGAGGTCAACTCGAGAATTTTAAATGGAACAAAAAATAGGTTTAGACATGACCTTGAAAATGTCCACGGTCCTTTAGAAGTTAACAACACTTTCAAATAGAACTGTATCTTTTCGACCACACTTGTGGAAAGAGCAAAAAAATAAGTTTAGACGTGACCTTGAAAATGTACTCCAAGGTCCTTTAGAAGTTAACAAAAATTTCAAATGAACTGTATCTTTTCGATCTCACTTGTGGATAGAGCAAAAAAATAGTTTTAGACGTGACCTTGAAAATAAGCTTCAAGGTCATTTAGAGGTCAACTCGAAAATTTTGAATGGAACCCTATCTTTCTGACCTCACCGGTGGTTGGAGCAAACAAATTTAGGTTTAGACATGACGTTGAAAATAAACTTCAAGGTCATTCAGAGATCAACTCGAGAATTTTAAATGGAACCCTATCTTTCAGAGCCCACCTGTGGAAATTTGGATATTTTTGGAAATGACCTTAAAGGTCAGAGGCCAAGTTGAACATTTAAAATTTCAAAAAAGGTACGGTAGAAGATAAGCGGAGGTAACAAGTTTGTTATTAAATAAGTATCGTAGAATATTGAAAATTTGCAGGTCGCTAGACAAAATTTAAATTTTTCAACAGTACATATCATAGAACACAACTATATTGAAAGGTTCAAAACCAGGATATTTTCTTTTTATTGAAGGTTTAATACTTCATAATCGTTTACTTCTAGAAATAAAAATAATCATGTTTTACATGCAAGCGATGTGATTTTTAGTTCCTGTTGATGTAGCTTTAAGTTATAGGAACGTTCTATTCTAAGATTTCAAATTTTCAAGATGATCTCTAAATGGTCCATCCCAAAACTGTTTTAAACAGTATTTTCCGAGATGGGAAACTTATTGATGCGAATTTACCCATATTTCCTCACGATTCACCGACGCTGAGCACTTTTAAAACATTTTCTTTCTAACTCGCTGCCAGTACCGAACGTTTAACGCCACCTCTCGGGCGGAAACACCTTGGGCTACCCGCTCGGGCTAGAGATGGGCTGTTTGCCGGGAGGCGGCAACATCAAGAACTGACAGCTGCCGCCGAATTTGCAGGTCGCCTGTCGGATGCGCCTGCGCAAGATGTGACTTTCGCTGGGCGGACTGAGGCCGAATAGCCGTTCCGATCCTCGGCCGCCCTTCGTCTTCGTTTCTCTGCCCTCGGCCAGGTAGTCGAGCTTCATGCTGAAATGCTGCTGCACCACTCGGTTCACAGCCATTGCGGACTCCGCGAACTGGCTCAATTCCAGCGCGGAATCGTTGCGTTTGATGACGTTCGGCGTCGACAGGGCGGCGCTTGAAGAGGCGCAACGCAGCCACGGGTGCTCCAACACCTCACCAGCACTGAAACAACAAAATATTCCGATTAGGCCCGGTTTTTTTAGTCTCACTACTACCTATGATAAGCGTTTTTCAATATCGTCACTATCATATGAAAAGTGCCTAAGTACATTTTTTTCAGTGTCATCTAATTGTGCAAATTGAAATCTACGATTTGGCGTTCACAGTTTGAGCTTACGTAGCTTGATGGTGCCCCAATACTCGCAAATGAAACCTGCGCAATTCCAGCTGTCTCTACAACAGTATGAATGTTGCGTAAGTCCGCGCTGTCAATGCTTATTATTAACCATCATTTTTCAGTGTCTGGTTTCTCTGTAGTTTTCTCCAGTTAATATAATCTACACTAAATAATTATTAAAAAGTGTAGCAAAATACATCAGGTAAGTCCAGAAACATATAATAATATGTATACTAGTTTGTGTATTTACCTAGTGGTTCCATAAGTTTTCTGACTTTTATCATTTTTAATTTGAATTAAACATTCGTTAAGATCTATGTGAATTCTTCTATTATTATTTTATGTATAAAGTAAATTTTTATATATTATTTCAACTAAAGTGGTGTAGCTTCTAGGATCTTTTCCTTTTCAGAATGAATAAAAGTTCAAGAAGCTTCAAAATATTGAGCAAAGTTCTTATAGAAGGCAGTGATCCGAGAACATTTGCTCTGTCTCAAAATAATTCTAGTCCATCAGATAATGACGGAATAAATCTTGCAATAAACAATCTACAACAGGAATGGTTTAAAGCTCAGGAAGCCCTTATAGAAAATGTCGACCCTGACCTAGGTAATGCAGATTTTGTTACAGAAATAATAGATAACACCGGTGATTTAAGTGCCCTAATAGAACTAGATTGCCTAAATAATGCAACAATTATTGAAGCACAAGAAAGAGATGAAAGTATTGTCGATCAGAATGTTACGAAAAAAAGAACACATATATACCTAAGTATAAAATACAAATAGACACAATCTATATCTGTAGCAGAAATGCTTATTTAATCAATAGCGAGCAACATGCTTTTAGTATGTTTACGAAAACTTTCCAAAGACATCAATTTAATACTGTTGTCTGATTATAAAATAGTGCTGCATTATGGAATAATGCAGAAGTGTGTGGGGTGGTTCTGATACTAAAACGATTCCTAACAGCCCTGTCATGCACTTCGTAATTAAATCTTAACTTAGCTCTTAGATATTCAGGCTTTGATGACAATATTATTTTATGAACTAAAACTAAGAATTTATGTTTAACAAAACTTCCTAACCTAAGCCAGTTCAATTCCCTATATTTATCACTTACGTGATCGTATCATCTTTTCAGTGTTATAAAATTAATGAGTACCTATATAAATAAATCTAATACTGAACAATCAAAAAATGAAAATTGCCCAAGTCCATCCGACGAGTTGATTTAACGAGTGAAATTTGCGCAAGTCCATTTACTTCTCAAAACCTCAAAAATTGCTTTCTTTTTTTATGAACAATAGGTTTAATTAAAACTCATAATGCAACATTTTAAAGAAAATCATCGTTAAATAATAATATTTTCGTTTCAAAGAGTTTTTATTGTCTCCTGTAAAGTTAATCAGAATACTATCTATCGGTTTTTCCAATAGGGACTTGACAACTTTTAACTTTCTCAATTACCGAACTGTCAATGTCAAAACGTTCAGAAAAGAAAACATTTTCATCATGGTGCTTCAAGAAACACCACTTCGTCTAGAAAAAATAACTGTATGGTGTGGTTTTCATGCCGATGGTGTCATTAGGCCGTTTTTTTTCGTTGATGAAAATGACCGTCACGTTACAGTCAACGAAGATCGCTAGAGAGACATGTTGCAACGTTATTTTTTTGGTCAAATGGATGGGCTAGACATTAATGATATGTGGTTTCAAGAAGACGGTGCCACAAGCCACACAGCGGGTGAAATAATCGACATATTGAAAACAAAATTCGGTGAACGTGTTATATGTCGAATAATAATAATAATAATTATTTACTCTAAAATACAGGGAACATGAAACGAGTAAATAAATATAATATATCCATAGGAGGACATCGCCTGTGCATGGATCATATGTATGTTGAATTGCAAAATATAATAAAATAGAGAGAAAAAAGAAATTATTGGTAAGAATGGTAGAGCATTTATTGTGTAATATTTGAGATTATTTTATTAATTTGATTTCTCCCAATCGTGTTAATACATTTTTTTTAATTTTTTTTGAAGCCTAATGTATTGCGTAATCGTTTTAAATTATTTGGTAAATGTTCGTACAATTTTGGAGCTATATACAGGTGACATCGTTTCATTAGGGATTTGTTTGGTTTAGGAACATTTTTTGCGCGTAATTTATATCTGGTTTTATGATTATGTTTAATTATGTCGTGTTCACTAATAGTTTTGTGATAATGAGTGATGGTATGTAAGAAGTAAAGTTGTTTAGTATCATATACTTGTGCATCATTATATAAGTTATTAGTTGAGTATAATTTTCATTTGCCTAACATTGATTTTAAAATTCTTCTTTGAAGTACATCTAAATCGTTAAAGTATGTCGTGCATGCAGCACCCCACACTACTATACCATATGTTATGTGTGGCTCGACTAAAGCTTGATATATTATTCGTAGATAATATTCAGTTAATATACCGGTTAGAAATTTTATTTTATATGCTATGAATCTAATTTTCTTTAGTTTTGTGAGAAATATGTACATCCCATCTCAAGTGGGGATCTAGATAAATTCCTAAATATTTTGTATCATTAACTCTATTGATTTTTATATTTTTATCATCTACCTTAAACCGAAGGTGGTTATATTTTGGTAGATGATTAGATAGTGATGAAAATGGTAAAAAATGAGTTTTAGTAAAGTTAATTGTTAATTTTCAGTTATTAAACCACTGAATAATTTTGCAAAAGTCATTTTGGATAATATCTTTTAAGTCGTTCCAATCCTTACCTTTATAGAGTATAGCAGTATCGTCTGCAAAACTGACTATTTTACCAGTACTGTTAATTTTGAATATATCGTTTAAATAAATATTGAATAACAGAGGACCCAAAATTGTACCTTGTGGAACACCACATTTAACAAACATTTCTTTACTATACGAGCTTAATAATTTTACTGATTGCGAATTTTCCATTAAAGTATACATCTTTCCACGAAAGCCTATTCTTTCTAAGATTTCCAAAAGTATATTGTGGTTAACTGTGTCAAACGCTTTTTGTAAGTCCACAAATACGCATATCGATGGTACTTTTCCATCTATATTTTGGGTTATTTCATCTACTATACTTAATACCCTATCTGTTGTAGATTTGCCCGCTATAAAACCATATTGATTTGAATTTAGAATTTTGAATTTATTAAGAAAATTAATCATTTTATTAATGAGTAATTTCTCAAAAACTTTAGCTAAACTTGATATAAGTGAAATAGGTCGATAGTTAGTGACGTCCGTATTATCATTAGATTTATAGATAGGTATGATGATTGCTGTCTTGAAAGCTGATGGAAATACTCCAGATTGGAAGGATTTGTTAATGATATAAGCAAGTGGTTCTGTTATTTGTTTAGCCAGTATCTTTAGATGTTCAGCTCTAATTTCGTCAACTCCAGGGCTTTTTTTATTTTTTAGAGTCATAATGGCATTGAAAACATCCTGATAGTCTACTTCAGTTAATACAAATGAATTATTCAGTCTTGTTTCATGCAGATGAATATCAGCATTTTGTTTGATATTATTTGCTAAGTTTCCTCCTATATTCGTGAAAAATTCTATGAACTCATCACATATTTGCTGAATATTGTCTGTTTTCTGTCCTGTTTTTGTTTTTATTTCATTAATATTGTTTTTTGAATAGGATGACTTATTGAATATATCATTGACAGTGGACCATAGGTGTCTAGAGTCATGTGAATTATTATTCAATTGTTTTATATAGTAATTTTTTTTGCTTTTCTCAAAAGTTCTATAAATTTGTTTTTATACTGATTATAATGGCCACATACATCGTGTGATTTAACACCTCTAGACTTTTTTTTGTGGGGCTACATTAAATCATTAAACTGTCTTCCTTTTAGCTTCATTTAACATGCGGAAACAGTGCACAGTCGCAGGGAGCAGGATCTGGACTGCAAGGAGGGTGCTCAATAAGTGTCAGTCAGAGCTGGAGCGTTGTCATGGTGGAGGCACCAAGTGTCCATTCTTGACTTTGGCCGCAGGTTTTTCATAGGCACTGTTCCGTGAGCCACTTAGCTGTGACTGTCTTCTGTGTGTCCAAAACGACACGCTGCACAATCCCGCTCGATTTGAAGAACACAGCTCTTAACAGATCGACATGCAGTAACCTGCAGCCTCCTGCGTCCGTTTGTTGAGTCGCATTGCAAAACTGTTATAGTACCCTTTGTATAATTGGGACAAAGTGCCTTCCTATACCACCATTTTTTTATATCAAGGTATAGTAATTCCATGTCTTATAAATTCATCAGCTAAGTGTAATATAATAACGGTTCAAGTAACTTACCTAATTCTGTCGCTTGCGTTTTTCACTAGTAGCTTACAAATAAGGTCCGTAGCCTCTTCAGAAATATTGCCCCACTCCGCCTCTGGAAAATCATATTTTCCGTCCTGAATGCTGTTAAACAACATCCTCTGACACCTGTAACAATCGCATAATTTCAACTAAGGCAACAATAGAGCCTAAAAGCCAGGGCACCGCGGCTGCTATGAGGATCCCAAAGAAATTTTGTTAATGCGATTTTTGAACTGCTTAAATTTAGTAGAACAGGGAAAAGCTTCCTCTTGTAGATTATTCCACAATCTCGACCCCCTCGGGACAAACATATTAAGAATCGGCTTAAAGTAAAAAAAAAAACAGAGCGTCAACGGTTGACGACATATCTGATGTTGCTTAAAAAATGCTTGTCACTGTATTGAAAACATTGCAGATTAGAAAATGTGTAATAGTGATTTTATAGTGTAAAAAACAGGACTTGGGAACCCATAAATCTTAATCCGAGTTATTTTAATAAAGTGGTATTATTGTAGCTCTATATACCTGCAGCACTGCAAAATTGAATTGTAGATAAAAAATCAAGTAAACAAACATATTAAGTTCGACGGTATTTTGCTTTTTTGTGCATAATTGCTGCAAATAACCTTGAAACCTCAGTTTGAAAAATAATGTGGTTATTCGATACAGCAAAAACAATATGATTTAATTAGTACAGCTCGCTGTTGATTAGATATTTGTTCAAGCACGCGACTGAAGTATAGAAAAAATGGCGTCAAGTAGATTGACTCTATACTTCTACTTGGAGGATGAGTCAAGTCAGATGTAGGGAAAATATATGTGGCTTGTTATAGTATCACTGAGATTAGAAGCTTCTTAATAATAAAAAGGTCTTTCACTGTCAACAAATATGCAACAATGTATTTACCGCATACAGCTTCCAAATGTACAAGTTTCATCTTCTAAAACAATGCCTGAAAATGCAGGTGATGGGAATCACGTTTCCCTCATTGCAGGGAAATTATAAGAATACGAACAATGTCGAGGGATGCTGAAAAAGAAACATAATAAAGTGAATCGAAGTTTTGTTACCTGTCACAGTTGTCTCCTCTTTCCCATCCACAGTCCCTTCCGCATTTCCCATAGAAAGGCGGATAGCCGCACAACAGGATATACGCTATGACACCTAGCGACCAAAGATCGCACCTCTTGTCGTACGTTGACGTCTCTGATTCACCGATGAACGCCTCCACCACCTCGGGAGCCATAAACTCAGCGCTACCCACCTACGACAAAACACAACGATCAACACATATAGCTCAAACTACCACGGTTGGCAGGTTTAAACCGACTGGTTTTCTTCAGGAAAAAAAACAGGTTTTTTTTAACCAACCTTCTTTTTAATTAATAATTCAACTGTTGTTAAAAACACCTTGCTATCACAGCATCTTGAATGCACCATTTTCTACCAAATCTTATGCAGATATGATTAGCAAAAAGTTCAACAAAACAATATTTGAATGTTATCAAAAGTAATAATGTATAAATAAGTTGTGTATAAAATATAAGTTATACCTAGGTTTTTGACTGATTAACCTACTTCAATAAAGTCACCGTTTAAATGAATTTATACTCAGTGACATCAGATGTGTTACGCCCAAAAAAAAAAAATTTTTTTCAACTTGATTTTTTGGCAATGAAGTAGTCTTACATCAAGAATGAAACGATAACATTTTCAGGCAATTTTATTGACCAGTAATAAGAAAAAAAATAATGTGTTGGGCGTCATATCCCACACATATTCAATGGGATTTAAATCCGGTGTACGTGGTGGTCACGGCAAAACATTATCGCCTGCTTCTTGAAGAAAGTCCTTAGTATGACGAGCAGTCTGAGGACGTGCGTTGCCTTGCTGAAAAAGGACTAGTGGATGCCCTCTATATACGGCGTAAAGTGGTCTGTAGGATATCATCAACATAACGCGCGGCCTTGGACAAAGATAAGGGGTGATCGGTCTCCAAACCATTGGTCAGTGATCGGTGGACCTTCTTCGTGTTCTTCTACCCTCTTCTATCCACACACGACACACACGCATTACCGTCATTGCAGTACGATTAACACGGCGGCCAATTTCGCGATAGGACAAAGCAGGCTACAATTCGACTTCTGTTAGAGTCGCTGAATTATCATTATTCATCCATATTAATGGATGAACTCGAACACTAGTAAATGAAACGGCAATAACTAAAAATATCTGTACTACTCAGCTCTCAGAAACTGCCTTCTTCACAAAAGTAAAATTTTAACAAAGGTAAACAAAAACAAACACAAATAGTTGACATTGTTGCCACAACATGCTTTAGACATGTTGCCAAAAAAGCAAGTTGAAATTATTTTTTTCTGGGTGCAACATTTCTGTCACCGAGTATATGTTACAGTTTCTTTTCGCAACATGTTTAAACAGTTTCGATGTACAAAAATAATGGCTTCATTTTGAAGAGTTCAACTGAAGATTATGATTCTTTGCATTTGTACTGGTAGATTTTAAATCATCATTGTTTCAGCAATTTGGATATTAGACAAGTGGAAAGGATTATAGATTTGTGAATCATCAACGAGAATTTGAACACTGCAAGGTTTCACAGCTGCATGTACATCCGATACATATATATACAGGGTTATCCAAATTAAGTGTCCACCATTAGTAACTTTGTTATTAGTGAAAATACAAAGTTGTTTGAATTAGCAAACTAGTAGCATTTTTAACGCTGGTAAAAATGAGAAATAAAAAAAAACAATTGAGAGTCGTTATTTTGATTTTTTTCAGTAAAATAACATTTTTTTAAATGGAAACCCCTGTATATTATATTTTTTTCTGTTAAAGCATCAAATTTTAAACAAAAAAGCTTACAATAACTTTTCTCCTAGGTTACAAATTGTTGAAGTTATGGCCTCCAATCTGAAACAATTAAATTGTATCGACAAACTTTATTTTCAACATCAACTTATAATCTTACAAAATACAATAACAATTTTTTTAAAGAAGATGCTCGAAAACACCACCTTGTTCTTCAATACATTTTTGGGCACGTTTTTCAACTGCTCGAACTGTCTTAAGTATGGTCCTACCATCTATCTGGGTTATCTTTTCCCTAACTGCAGTCTTTAACGCGTCAAGGTTATCGTACATTCGCTTGTAAATTTGGTTCTTTAAGTAACCCCACAAGAAGTAATCAAGTGGGTTTAGATCTGGTGATCTGGGAGGCCACTGTATTGGGCCATTTGTTCCTAGCCACTGATCATTAAAAGTAGTACTTAGAAAATGATAAGTACCTCTGGAGTTGTGGGCAGGTGCGCCATCTTGCTGAAAATGCAGATGATGTCTACTTATAAGATCCAATTCGTCTAAGAAATTAGTCAGAATTTCTGACATAAATTCCACATATCTTTCACCAGTTAGGGTTCCCTCATAAAAGAACGGGCCAACAATTTTTGAACCAATTATACCGCACCAAACGTTGAAACTGAAACGGACTTGTGGGCCTCTTGGATGTACTAACAAAAGATTTTCTCTTGACCAATAATGGTGGTTTTTTCTATTAAACATTCCAGAATTTGAAAAATTTGATTCATCTGTCCATAAAAGGTAACGAAAGTTATTTACATTTTGGCGACAGAAGCTAAGATACCAATGGCAAAAAACAAGTCTTCTCTCTGGATCCCCTGCCAAAAGCGTTTGAACTGGTCGGTACTTATACGGAATAAATTTGTATTTTTTTAAAATCCTTTGAACAGTACCATAACTGAAATTAGAGTCCTTGAGAATATCTGCTATTGAATTCTCACGATAAGCTTCAAAATATCCAATAACTGCAATTTCCGTGGCCTCGCTTATTATGAATTCTTTTTTTGCCCTTGTTTTAGCAAAAACATTTTCGTTGCCCCTAAATTTTCGATAAAGTCTCAGAAAATATCGTTCATACGGTTGAATGCGAGCGGGATATAATTCACTGTAGTATTCTCTTGCTCTCAAGGAGGATTTTCTGCACACTAAATAGCATTCTAACATATCACACTTTTCTTCATGGGAGAACATTTTCTTTAAATTAATGACACAATAAAGCTTATAAACAAGTATTTACACTAATGTTTGACATTATTTGATTTTATCATTGTTTTCCAAAGCCTTCTAGTTGCGAGTATGTCCAGTTTAACAATTTGTCGCTTATCTTAATGCTGTCAAATCGCGAACGCCATGTTGTTTTCATAGCCGTCTTAATATTATAATACTGCAAATAATAAAAAATTTTTATCGTTATTTTGACTTTATTTTTGACTTTAGCGGAAAAGTCATTATGAACTTTTTTGTTTAAAATTTGATGCTTTAACAGAAAAAAATATAATATACAGGGGTTTCCATTTAAAAAAATGTTATTTTACTGAAAAAAATCAAAATAACGACTCTCAATTGTTTTTTTTTATTTCTCATTTTTACCAGCGTTAAAAATGCTACTAGTTTGCTAATTCAAACAACTTTGTATTTTCACTAATAACAAAGTTACTAATGGTGGACACTTAATTTGGATAACCCTGTATATATATATATCACATACTACTGTAAGTTAATTTAAATTCATTTTACACAATTGTTGCTACTGTTATCATTGTAATTGCAGCTCCTGATGATGATGGCAAAGTCCATTGAAAGCTAGAGAGAATAAAAAAGTATAAAGAGTGCTCCTTGCTTAAATTTTGTCGAAGTACCCAAAACAAGGCGGAAGCTTTAATTTTCACCTAACTGGTCTAGACGACAATGACGACAATTGTCGTCTAGACCAGTTAGGTGAAAAATAAAGCTTCCATCTCTTTAACAATATAGTTTGTTCAACTGCCTCTGGTCTGTTGACAAGTTTTTATTTAGATATCTTGATAAATCACACTATCTGAAGTGATTTGGCAACATAGCACACATTATTACAGAAATTTTCGTTCCATCCATCGACACTGACACACCAGCCTTCTGCCATCTGTCAAATATTTCATCTTACTTATGATCCTGTGCCACATCATTTTGTGCAGAATCAGGTTGTTTCACGATGTAACATGTAATAATTTTAATTTTCGTTCCAAATATTTTTAATTCGTTTTGATGTGTTCCTGACATACAGCTGTGCGTATTTTATACTAATTTTAACGAATGTACCATGTATCCAGCTTTCACCAGGTTACTAAATGTTTCCCTCAACTTAACCTCTAATAAGATTTTGGCAACAATCTCACATACTATCGTAAGTAATTTAAAGTCATTTTGCACAATAGTTGCTACTTCTTCTTAATGTTATTACAGCTCCTGATGATGATGGCAAAGTCCATTGAAAGCTAGAGACTAATAAAGTATAGAGTCCTGATTGCTTGAATTTTGTCGAAGTACCCAATTAAAGGCGGAAGCTTTATTTTCATATATATATATATATATATATATATATGTAATATAGTATTCATAGTTAAAATTGCCTTAACTGTTAGGAGAAAATATCTTTAAATTTCTTTGAGTTGAAGTCAAACTTTTGCATAAGTAGACTGTTACAACTTGAACTCGAGCTTTCGATGGTCTATGCCATCATCGTCTGGAGCTAAAAAACAATTTTTGAAAAAATAGCAACAATAAACAATTAGGAGGAAAATAATTACTTAAGTTCTTAAATATATATATATATATATATATATATATATATATATGTATATATATATATAATGAATAATAGTGGCCAAAGTACAGATCCTGGTGGTACTCCGGAGAAAATGAGACATTCTGGAGACGAAATCATATCGATTTCATTAAATTGATAAAGCGAAACTCATGGAATTATCTAAATTATTGAATAACTATACACCGCACAAGCATCTTCAGGTATAGAAAGAATTATTTCTTCTTTTGGCTTAAAACAAAGTAAGATACGTAATAGACTATTTTCGCGCAAAGATTTTTTCAAGTTTTTGTCAGAATTTCATGGACGATTGTTTCGGAGTTTGACAGTTCCTCAGCTGTCCTCCTGTCAATCGACAGTCTTCAAGACCAGAGCCCAGAATTCGTTCAATATTTCCCTCAGAGCTCGATGTGGAGGGGCGTCCTGAGCCTTGGTCATCTTTCACATATTCTCGACCTTCCTGAAACCTTTTCAACCACTTGTCGACGGTTGGTTCCTCCAGAGAATTGTCTCCGTAACATCTGTTCCAAACACTCAAAAATCCCACGACCATTCTTGCCTAGCTTTGCAAGAAACTTGATGATGCGCTGTTCCTCGATCAGAGAGAGCTCAATGCCGACGACAGATAAAAAAAGGGTTAGTTTCAACAAGCACACGTAAATCCTACTTACTCGCAGAACACTCCGGTTCGAACTGAGCATAGAGGGGATTGCATAGAGAGAGGGAACCACCGGCCACCCCTCCACAACGCCCCGAATTTTCCGGACAAACCTCGTATTTATTACAATACACTCGATTGAATTGAATCCAATATCCGCATCTGGCCCTGTTAGGATACTTACTGGTGTAAGCAGCTGAGGCGTAGCGAGCGGGCTGGCAACGCTGCTTTGGAACCGGATTCCAGACCCGAGGTCGAAGTCGCAGATCTTCACCGGACACAATCGGTCCGGATACACGCACAGGATGTTCTCTGGTTTGAGGTCGCGATGCGCGATGCCTTTGGCGTGCATGAACGCCAACGCGGACGCCACCTCGCGGATTATTTCGGCGGCGGCCGCTTCGCTGAAGTACTTGTGCTCTTGGATCCTGCGCAACAGCTGCCCTCCATTCACCTGAAAACAAGGAAAAACTGTCAGGACACTTTAATTTGGAGAAAGACAGGTCTTTTTGTGTCGTCCAAACCATACTTTGTCAAGTGCTATTGACCTGAGAAGATGCGCCTGAAAAATTGATTTTGAAATGGAACCTTAGGTCAGATTTTACTAATGATCCGCGTATCAAAATTGACAATGATATCCACGTTGTGAATGATAGAACCCCAAGAAATGAATATGTATATATATATATATATACTTGAGACGTGGTCATTGTCGTCTAGACCAGTTAGGTGAAAAATTAAAGCTTACGGCTTTTGTTGGGTACTTCGACAAAATTTAAGCAAAGAGGACTCTTTATACTTTTTTTAATTCTCTCTAGCTTTCAATGGACCTTGCCATCATCATCAGGAGCTGCAATTACAATGATAACAGTAGCAACAAAAGTGTAAAATGAATTTAAATTGAATCAACTTACAGTAGTATGTGAGGATGTTGCTAATTGTTGTTTTCGTATAGGATGAGGGAAACGTCCAGTAACATGGTGAGAGCTGGATACATGGTACAATGGTTAAAATTATATAAAATATGACAAGACAAGTTAAAGACAGATTAAAAATTATTTAGAAAACATTAGAGCATTACGTCGTGAAGCCACTTGATGATTGCACAAAATGGTGGTCATGAAATAATGAGTGAGATGAACCTTTGACAGAAGGCCGAAGGTTGTCAATGTCTGTGTTGAAAGATGGAACGAATTGTGGGCGTGTGCCAAACGTTGCCAAATCACTTCAGATGATGTGATTTTCAGAATGTTATGGCTTAACCAACACAGTCTACTCCATCAATTGCAACAACTGCAACCAAATATACATAGGTCAGACCTCCAGATCTCTTAAAGGAAGGATTACATCACACAAAAGTGATGCTAGGCTTCATCCTGAAAGATGCGCTCTAGCATCTCATGTTAACACAACAGGGCATTCTATGAATTACACAAGTATCAAAGTTCTTGATAAAGAAAAACACCTTTCCAAACGTTTATTCCTGGAAATGTCCCACATTTTCTTGAATAACAACTGTATCAACAAAAAGACAGATGTTAAACAACTGAGTGTCATTTACTCATATTTGCTAAACTGCGAAAAATTGGAGAACTTACATATCTCCCCAAATTTCGACTTTTCACAACCATAAATATAATCTGTGTTTTGGCCGATTCCACCAACAAATTTCATTCCACTCAAAATCTAATAATTCTCTTCTCACGATTTATTAATAATTGTTAATTTAAAATTCCCATTAATTAAAATATAGTTTATTCAACTGCCTCTGGTCGGTTTAACAATTTCTTACATACCATTCTGAAAATCACATCATCTGAAGTGATTTGGCAACGTTTTGGCACACGCCCACAATTCGTTCCATCTTTCAACACAGACATTGACAACCTTCGGCCTTCTGTCAAAGGTTCATCTCACTCATTATTCCATGACCACCATTTTGTGCAATCATCAAGTCGCTTCACGACGTAATGCTCTAATGTTTTCTAAATAATTTTTAATCTGTCTTTAACTTGTTTTGTCATATTTTATATAATTTTAACCATTGTACCATGTATCCAGCTCTCACCATGTTACTGGACGTTTCCCTCATCCTATACGTAAACAACAATTAGCAACATCCTCACATACTACTGTAAGTTGAGTCAATTTAAATTCATTTTACACTTTTGTTGCTACTGTTATCATTGTAATTGCAGCTCCTGATGATGATGGCAAAGTCCATTGAAAGCTAGAGAGAATTAAAAAAAAGTATAAAGAGTCCTCTTTGCTTAAATTTTGTCGAAGTACCCAACAAAAGGCGGAAGCTTTAATTTTTCACCTATATATATATATATATATATATAGGGTGGCCCATCCATGCTTGGACGGAATATTACTCATAAACAGATAATTTTGGGAAAATCTATTTATGACATTTGAGGACACATTTCTAAAATATTGGCCATTATACAGGGTGTCCCAATTTCGACCTACATATCAAGGTTGTCATTTTTTAAATGAAATGCCTCAAATTTTATTGCATATATATAACATGGGTTTTGGTAATTAGCTACTGAGATATAAGGTGTTTTGTCTAGAAAAACCCTCCCACTTCGGCAACCGCTCAGTCCGCCATTTTGAAATTTGGAGTGCTGAATTTTGTATCAAAAAAACTTAACACACCTCAGCTTTTATCTTATTTGTTAATTTGTTTAATTTTAATTTTTGCTCATACAGGGTGGTCAATAACGCGAATTATAAATCCTGAGGACGATGGCCTTGATGCAAGCATCGGTGATATGGATGGTAATTTGAGGCATTCCATTAAAAAAATCACAACTTTGATATGTACGTCAAAATTGGGACACCCTGTATAATTGCCAGTATTTTAGAAATGTGCCCTCAAATGTCATGTATAACATGCCATAAATAGATTTTCCCCAAAATGTATTTGTTTATGAGCAATATTCCGTCCACTCATGGATGGGCCACCCTGTATACAGGGTGACTTTGAAGTTGAGTCATTAATTTTCAGATAATGATTGTAGAAGGAAGATAGACCAAAATATGTGTGTAAAAATAAAAAAAAAAAAATAAAAAATGTTACCTTGTTTTATAAACTATCCTCCCGACAAGTATTTCAGTGCGGACCTGTATTTGATCGTGCGGTCTTGGAGCACCGGGTTGGTTGCACTCGATTGGGAAACCGATCCGCAAAATCCGTGATGACGCGTAAATAAGAATCATGTCCACAAGTTCAGCATTTTCGTAAACATGTGCCATTTTTGATTTCGTTTGAGCCACGCAACAGACACCACTATTCACTCACGCGTTACCGACTGACACTGACTGTATATGTATACAACTGAATAAAATAATTGTAAAAACATCGTTCCAAATTCTTTCGCTTTTTTGTTTCCGATGCGATGAACCGATAAGGCGGATTATATCTGTTGTTGCCAAACACGAGCACATAATATTATTATTGAGACAGGGCGGTACTCAAACTTCCAAAGGGCTATAACTTTGTTACTTTAATTTTACCAGAAAAATGGTAAAGGAAAAAACATTTCTTTTGCTCAGATCTACTCACTGTTAAAATAAATGACTCAACTTCGAAGTCACCCTGTATATATATGCTAATTTGACAAAGAGTTAAATAATAAATTCCACAACTAACTTTTTCGATTGAATCCCATAAAACACGTTTTTTCATTCCTTGTCCAATAAAAAGTTTCCCACAAAAATTGAGAAGTTTCGCGATATTCAGAATCGCATAAGTAATGACATACCAGCAAAATATAGACTTAATATAATCAAGCAGTGAAAAAATTTATGAAATCGGCCGATAAATAACACAGAAATTGATAATTAAATTTTTCACATTATGGCGCGAAATTATTGCTGCCGTTCGTTCGCGTCTGACGTCACATTTCTCTAGTGCCCAGCGTCTCGTCGCGTCTGTGCGTTTAGTCATTAGTCTATCGACAATTCATAAGGCACACCTGCGCGCTCAAACACGTGGTTTTCAATTGATAACTATTGAGTACCGCGTAAGTTATGGACGCCGCATGTGAAGGTACGTAGAATTTTTTTTTAATAGAGGTTGTAATTGTTCTGTTCGTACATGTAACGCTACAGTATTTATAACAACCTGTTTTTCTTATTTCGCTGATAACCGATCGTATATGCAGTCGACTAATTAAACAAATTGGGGCGGAAGACGTTTAGCCTGCCATGTGCCCCGCTGTATGTGCGCCTATGCATGTGTTTAGGAGATTGAGACGGCTCAGGGCCCAGGAATCGACCGCGGGTTGCAACTGGATACTGAAGTGTGACGTCACGCGTATCGTACAGACGGAAAAAAATATTCTCGCGGGGCGCAACTTTGATGGGCTGTAACTTTTTTCGTTTTAGAGATAAATTAATAATTTTTTCGCCATCTTGTTTCATTTTTCCTAAACTTTCATTTGAGATAATAACAAAAAAATGGTAAACTTGCCCATTGGTGTTCCTACCCATTTTATGCGTCCATGTTTGAACAACTTGCACCAATAAAACCAGGCTTTACAATCATTTCGGGAAAATTTGCAAATATGATTAGGCTATAGATAATAAAATTGTTTTTGTAATGGATTTTTCAAGGACAGTCTGATAAAGTGGTACTTCATCCACGCGCCAGGATATCCAATAATGTTGAGAGCTTGAAAATAAATAAATATTATAGACTTTACAGTGACAGTGATCATAACAAAATATTAAATAATCTCACTGGCACATCTACTTTTGCCAATTTCTTGTCAACCGTCTAGTTATCATTCATAAATTACTTTTCTAAATAGCAACTTCGATAGATACAAATATTGTGCGATATGAAGTTTTCAGTAATGTTTTCAAAACATAAAATATTCTCAAAAAATCATGGAGAGAAAGTAAATATTAAAATGTAAGATTAATATAAGACATGACGAAAATATTGATTTTAGGATAAATTTAGGTAAATATGAAGCAGAGGTCGCCGTTGTACAAAATATTGACGTGACTCGGAGGTATGGTGAAAACGATCGTACCTTCTCAAAAACCAAATAAAACTTTTCTTCGTCCTCGAAAAACTCTGTGAGCTGTATGATGTTGGGGTGCCCCTGGCAGTGGTGGAAGGTCTCTACTTCCCTGAAGACCCTAGCCCTTGCGTGTCCGGGCACTTTGTCGATCAACTTGACGGCGAACTCCTGTTCGGTGAAGATGTTCACGCACGTTTGGACGCTCGCGTACGCACCTTCGCCTAATACCTCGCCGGTCAGTCTATACAGGTCTGCAACGAAAAAAAAAAAACGTCGTTAAAATCATACCAAGCAAACCTAGGATCCCCCGAATACACTTCGTTAACTTTGGTTCTGTTTTTTCTAACGAAACATAAATAAAAGTATTGCTATGCAGGATTTTACATAATGTCGTTAGGAAAATTTAATGGTATTTCAACACATTAATCTGCTGAAAATTTGTGTAAACGATTTTTTATAAAAATGTTTGATCGTTCATTTAAAATCCAGGTACAGTAGTGGACAAAAGTATATACAGGGTGTCCCAGAAGTCGACGTCAAGCCGAAACCGGGTAATAGGCAAAGTCATAACAGCTATCAGAAAAATATTTAAAAAAATTTTATGTATGTGTTTTGAAAATTATAGGTCTTTGAAAAAAATATAGAAATTTCACACCCTACGGCAGTCTGACAACTGCTGTTACTACAAATATTAACTTTTTTTGGATTTTATTTTTACAATGTAATGATGAATAATGCATCTTCAAACTGGTGTCTCAACCTTACTGCCAACTTTTCTCGTTCAGGAAAAATTGCCACTTATTTCCCAACCAAGTATTCCAAAGTAAAACTTTGCTCAACTTTAACTGGCTGTACTGGAAAAAAATGTACTACGAGAGTTTGGCAAGTAACCTTAAAAGTTGGCGCATTTAATAAGGATTCCAAAATGGTATAACACTTAGAAGATTACTCGTTAACTTATGCACAATTTTTATTTGAAGAAAAACTGATGAAAATTTTTCAAAATTTCCTAATTAAACAGCGATTATGAAAACGCACAAGGACCCTTAAGGATAACTGTTTGCACAACAGTGGGCGTCAAAATGCTGCTGATGATGATTTACCTTTACAGCAAATGCTCAAACTGTTTTCCTTCAGCCGCAATAACATACACGCTCGACATCTTCTTAAAAAAGATTATTAAACGAGCGAATCCACGGTTATTAACAAACTCAGCTGCTTCCAATAGTCTTCGCCGTAGCTCAGTCACATTTTGAATCGGCTTGAAATACCCTTTTTCTTTTACAGTTCCCCAGTAAAAAAAATCTAACGGATTCAAATCTGGTGACCGGGCTGGCCACGGTATTGTACCAGACCGCCCTATCCATCTGCCTGGAAAGTTTTGATCGAGATACTCTCTCACTGAGAGTGCATAGTGCGCTGGGCAGCCATCATGCTGAAACCACATGGCCCTGTAAATACTCAGTGGCACGTCCTCCAATAAATTTTCTAAATGATTTTGCAAAAAACCTAAATAAACCTCAGCAGTCAAAGTCTCTGGGAACTCAAACGGACCGATTATTTTACCATTTAAAATTCCTGTCCAATGGTTTATCTTGAAGCGATATTGAGATGTATCTTCTCTCATCAAATGTGGGTTTGCTACGTGCCACTCGTGTAAGTTATGCAGGTTCATGTACCCATCTTTCTTAAATGTGGTCTCATCTGACCATAAAATTTTTTCAAAGAACCGTGGATCTTCCCTGTGTCTTTCTAACATTGTTCGACAAAAAGCAACTCGGGGCTCATAATCCCGAGGCAGAAGAGCTTGAACACGCTGTACGTGGTATGGATGGAGCACGTTTTTTTGCAAGATTCTATGGGCTGTACTTTTGGGCACATCTGTTTTTAGTTCTATTGCACGCACTGAAGTACTCGGGTCTTCTTCGACAGCTCCTAGCACCACGTCTTCGTAAGGGAGGAAAGATCTTCCCTCACCGTGTGATTGGTTTGGTAGTTGGCCCTCTGAGAACAGTAAGCGGTGCACATTTGTGAACACTCGATGATCTGGATGACGAGCTGCATTCGGGTACCTCTCACAGTAAAGTCTCGCTGCAGCACTAGCGTTGCATCTGCATTCCCCATAAATGAGGTGCATGTTAGCATATTCTTGTACGGTGTACACGGACATAGCGGCACTGCACAATCACACTATCAAAGATAGTCTAAGGAAAGCAAATGTTGTTTTGAAGAGCAATTAAACAGTCCAAATCCAAATCACAAGCGATCAACAGTCCAGTTCACGAATCCAAAATTAGTAACAGTACGAAATCAACAAGCACGAACATGTAAAGATGCGCAGTAAACGAAGGAGTACTGATCGGTATCAAGGTGTGCAATAGCAAGTAAGTGATGTGCTTCATCCATACCACATACAGCGTGTTCAACCTCTCCTGCCCCGGGATTATGAGCCCCGAGTTGCTTTTTGTCGCACAATGTTAGAAAGACACAGGAAAGATCCACAGTTCTTTGAAAAAATTTTATGGTCGGATGAGACTACATTTAAGAAAGATGTGTACATGAACCTGCATAACTTAGACGAGTGGCACGTAGCAAACCCACATTTGATGAGAGAAGATAAATCTCAATATCGCTTCAAGATAAACATTGGACAGGAATCTTAAATGGTAAAATAATCGGTCCGTTTGAGTTCCCAGAGACTTTGACTGCTGAAGTTTATTTGGATTTTTTTAAAAATCATGTACAAAATTTATTGGTGGACGTGCCACTGAGTATTTATAGGGACATGTGGTTTCAGCATGATGGCTGCCCAGCGCACTATCCACTCTCAGTGAGAGAGTATCTCGATAAAAACTTTCCAGGCAGATGGATAAGGCGGTCTGGTACAATACCGTGGCCAGCCCGATCACCTGATTTGAATCCTTTAGATTTTTTTACTGGGAACTGTAAAAGAAAAAGTGTATTTCAAGCCGATTCAAAATGTAACTGAGCTACGGCAAAGACTATTGGAAGCAGCTGAGTTTGTTAATAACCGTGGATTCGCTCGTTTAATAACCCGATCTTTTTTAAGAAGATGTCGAGCGTGTATTGCGGCTGAAGGAAAACAGTTTGAGCATTTGCTGTAAAGGTAAATCATCATCAGCAGCATTTTGACGCCCACTGTTGTGCAAACAGTTATCCTTAAGGGTCCTTGTGCGTTTTCATAATCGCTGTTTAATTAGGAAATTTTGAAAAATTTTCATCAGCTTTTTTTCAAATAAAAATTGTGCATAAGTTAACGAGTAATCTTCTAAGTGTTATACCATTTTGGAATCCTTATTAAATGCGCCAACTTTTAAGGTTACTTGCCAAACTCTTGTAGTACATTTTTTTCCAGTACAGCCAGTTTAAGTTGAGCAAAATTTTACTTTGGAATACTTGGTTGGGAAATAAGTGGCAATTTTTCCTGAACGAGAAAAGTTGGCAGTAAGGTTGAGACACCAGTTTGAAGATGAATTATTCATCATTACATTGTAAAAATAAAATCCAAAAAAAGTAAATATTTTTCTGATAGCTGTTATGACTTTGCCTATCAGCCGGTTTCGGCTTGACGTCGACTTCTGGGACACCCTGTAGACAAATTAATATTGTGCTGTATTTCTTTTTTACTTGTTTTATTAATACACCAACCTGTATATATAATTCGTTATAGCATAATACTCACTTTTACATAAATAAATTCATTAGACTCCCTTCAATAAAAAATTTATCGAAAAAAAACTGGAACTATGAAGGACAAAAATATATAGACAAAGCAAAACAATTATAGAAAAAGAAGCAAAGTTCATTGAATTATAGACAACCATCCATGTTTGTGTTAATATTTTGTAGCATAACCATTATTATCAATCACCGTATGGCATCGTCTCGGCATAGATGGTTGAAGTTTCTTGATATAAGATTCATCAATCTGTCTCCACTTTTGCTCTAAAGCGGCAAAAAGTTCATCCTTGTTTGAATAATTTTTATCTCGTATTTGCTTATCTAAGTATTCCTATATATTTTCAATGGGGTTTATATCGGGAGACTGTGAAGGCCATTTGAGAACTAGTATTTTTTCATCCAGAAAAAATTTCTTTGCCATATTTGAAATGTGCTTTGGGTCATTATCTTGCTGGTTTTCTAAAGGAATTTAGTTAAATATTCATATTTGTCTATATACTTTTGTCCATTACTGTACATTTACATTGTTTGTTTTCCAACATTTCCCATGTGCAGTATCGCAGGTGTGAGCTTATCGAGTCAAGGCGAACATTTTATCGCAAATAAAATGGCAAAGGCATGAGTTTTCCTTGCCAATGTAATTGATAAACAAACCTCCACTCCTGTGCCATGGTGATTCTTTGTCGACACTAAATCAATTTTACCGGATCGCCTGTTACATTCGTCAGCGAAGTAATGGTCAACAAACACCGAATCGTACGGATTATTCTGGAAGTATTTTTAGCCGTTCGAAAATTTCCATCAGACCACCGTCTCACGTACGTACGTCGAGTGTACATCATATGTTTCTTATCATTCTCAAATATTTACATTACTACTAAATATAAAGGCAAACACGGCTATCTTGGAAACTTACATAAGTTGGTTTAAGATTATTTTTTTAAGACGTGCAAGCTGAATTAATTGGATTGTACAGAAACCTCCAGGAAAGTAAACCGTGGTTTCTTGTCGGGCTGTGTTAGAACGACCACATAAATGTCCATAACACAGCTCATTTTTGCATGTAAACTTATCGCAATTTTCAATAACCAGTTTTTAGAATGGCATTTATCGATAAGTAAACTGTATCCAAATCTTAATGTGACGGAGAATTAAAAATAAGGTAGGTTGTCGAAATATTTTGTCGGAATTCAATAGAAATATTTTCTAGCGATATCAAGAGTTATCAGGCCACATTTTATTGGCTATTAACAGCGAAATGTTAATGATCGTGTTGGACAAAACAAAAAAATATGCTATTAATTCGGCGAAACAAAGTTCTATTTTCCGATAAAATTCTTGATGAATCACTTAGTCACGTCATGTAAAAAAGAAACTCGTAGGCGAGGAAGTAGGAACAATTTTGGAGACTTATACGTTTGACGAATATTCTGATATGCATTTAATTTACGGATTGGCTTTAAAAAGAAATATCTCAAAAATTACACTGATCAACAGCCAAAAAATATCCTAAATAAAATCAACAAAATATTACTAGTTTTAATGTGCT